GACTAACCAGGAAGATAAGCAGGAAAGTTATTGTCCCTTACTGTGTAGATTTGAAAATAAAAGCTTCGAGAATGAAGAAAGTTGCTTAAGATTACTTTATTTTTATTTTTAAAAATATATTTTATTGATTTTTTACAGAGAGGAAGGGAGAGGGATAGAAAGTTAGAAATATCGATGAGAGAGAAACATTGATCAGCTGCCTCCTGCACACCCCACACTGGGGATGTGCCCGCAACCAAGGTACATGTCCTTGACCGCAATCAAACCCGGGACCCTTCAGTCCGCAGGCCGACACCCTATTCATTGAGCCAAACCGGTCTTGGATAGATTACTTTAATAGCAAGTATGGGAGCGGCTTAATTGGAAAAATCTTTTTCCCAACTCAGTTATCATGTTGGACATTATTGCATTTCTTCCAGGGGAATATTTCTGCCTTTCTCCTGGGTGCATAAACTCTACCCTCATAGAGCACAGCCCAAGATCAGAAACCTTGCTTTTCTCTTCATTGGATCCTTCTTTGTGCAGAAAAAAAAGTGCTCTGTGCTAAGAGGAACCCTGGTATGTGGCCTGTGAAAGTCTAGGTTCAGATACCATCATTGACCTCAAAAAGCATCTGCTTCTGCTCAGCGGGTCCTTCTTTGATGCTCCTTTCAGGAGACTTGTGATTGTGGCCCTGTGGCCAGATTTGACTCTAGAGCTCTCTAGTATGCCTTTCCCTCATTGTTTTTTGGCCCGATTCACCTGGGCTCCTCCACAGGGGGAGAGTTTGGGCTTAAATCTCGATGGAATCCAGCTTGTGCCAACTGATGCCATCCCTGACCAATCCTGGCATATCAACCTAGTCTTGGCCAGAGCACGGCTTGCATGATATAGAGAAGGTGTAGGGAACTTTATTTCTGTGAAGGGCCATTTGGATATTTATAATATCATTCTCAGGCTATACAAAGTTAACAACTTAAAAATTAGCCTGCTAGCCGAAGCCGGTTTGGCTCAGTGGTAGAGCGTCGGTCTGTGGACTGAAAGGTCCCAGGTTGGATTCCAGTCAAGGGCATGTACCTTGGTTGGGGGCACATCCCTGGTAGGGGGTGTGCAAGAGGCAGCTGGTCGATGTTTCTCTCTCATCGACATTTCTAGCTCTCTATCTCTCTTCCTTTCTCTCTGTTAAAAATCAATAAAATATATTTTAAAAAATAAAATAAAATGCTTCCTTTAGGGATGCGGCCATTTCCTAAAAAAAAAAAAAAAAAAAAAAAAAAAAAAAAAAAAAAAAATTAGCCTGCTATATTTGGCCACACATTTAATTAACTCACCTTAATACCTTGGCAGGGCCAGACCAAATGATTTTTCAGCTCTTATATGGCTCAGGGGCTGGATGTTCTCTAACCCTGATATGGAGGCTGAAACTACTGGAATCTGCACATCTGGATACAGGCAGGACCAAGAGCCACAGGCAGACATTTCTACACCACTCTTCTCAGCCTGCCCCTTGTCACTCTACCTGCCAGGCACATAAGGCAGGTGAATTGATTCTGGGCAGGCGGGGCTAGGTGGAGGGATAAAGGCAAAACACCTTAGCTCAAACCTGACTGCTCATCTGGGAGGGGGCGTCAGGGCCTCCCAGCTCTCTGTGGTGTGGTATGGTGTCGGGGAGTCAATGTCCCTGACATCCTATTGGGCGATAACTTATTACGTTCTCCAGATTCCTGCCGGGGAGGGCTGCTGGGGATTCAGGCTAGAGCCCTGCTTCGGACTTCTTGGCTTCTTTGTCTTTTTGAGCTATTGTGAAACTTCTGCCTCATAATCTGCCTCATAAAATCCCTGATCCATTTGGCTCCAATTCTGACAGTGATATGGATGCTACCATTTTCTAGACCCAGAAGCAAATTCTATCTGGGCCACTTTCTCCCCTTCCCATAATACCATAGAGAAGAGTGATCAGGGTCATAGTCTTAGTAATGACACTTAACACTGTGTGACTTGGAAAAGTTGCCTGGGCCTCAGCATGCTCCACCTTTTTTAAAATACTGATTTGGAGAGTTCCAGCATAGACCAATAGAATCAGCCTTTAGGGATGGGACCTTGGGGAATTGGTATTTTTAAAACTTTTTAGTTGATTATAATGTGTATCCAAGGATGAGAATCCCTGAGCTAAGTGATTTAGGTCAGCCTTCTCAAAATTTAATGTGCTGCAAATCACATGAGGATCTAGTTCAATGGAGATCCAGTTCAGTGAGCGTGGCCTCTGTGTGTTTAATATGCTTCCAGGTGATGCTGCTGCTGCTGGTCCAGGGATCACACTTTGAATAGTAGGGGCTAGAGGGCCCTAAATATAAATGAAACAATTTGGCACTCACCTGAGTGAGCTTATCTCCTTCCCACCAACCCTGGCTAGGGCCATTGCCTAGCATTAGGCGAGCAGGCAGCCCACCACTCTCCCATGGACCCTATGGCTCAGGCATATGGTGCAAGATATAGGACTTGATCACTGTCCTCTGCCTCCCCTCTTAGGCTTAGGGAGGAGCACAGAAATAATGTACAGGTGGATGCCTCTCTCCTCCCTTCTCTTCCTTTTTGTTCTGCCTCAAACCATGAGTGACAAGGGGCTGTAGTGGACTTCAAGTGTGTGACATGCACTGACTTGGGTGGCCATACCAGACTCATGGCCCTTTATGTGTCACTATTTTCTTCTATGCCCACCTTTCTGGAAACTCAGATCTGGTCCTTCCTTTGGTATCTTCCCTTTGTCTTAATGACAGGACAGCATAGCTGGCTGCTGGGAGGGGCTCTGAGGACAGGGAAGGCCGTTCTCTTGGGTGTGTGGCAGGAGTAAGAGACTAGGGGGTGGTTACAGCAGTTGGCTCAGCTGTCCTAGCAGCAAAACCCTGTCATTCAAATGCTCCTTGGGTGGGTGTGAAGTCCCTTCACACTGCTCTTACCACATCCCCCATCCTCCAGACCACCACCTGCCTAGAGACCTGGAGCCTTTCTAAGGCCTGCATTGCCCCCTGCCAGAGGGGCTGAGATAGTGCTAGCTGGGAACAAATGCTTTCCAGAATCTTTTGGAGGTTCTGGTTATTCCTAGCTCTTTATCACAGGTTAGAGAGTTGCAATAACAAGAAACATGAACATACACATGGATGCAGGTGGATGCACAGACTAAGGGGCCTGCAGGGGTGTATATTGCAAGTGCATAAGGCCACACCAATCCATATGGATCATGGACCTGAGCAAACTTCGATGCTGCTATATGCAGAGGCAGATACCAGGGTGCACGACCAGGTGCACACCTTCTTGAAAATGACAAGTTGCAACCCCACTCATCCCTTTTTGCCCCCAAAGTCCTCAGGGGCTGCAGAACCTTATTTTCTCCCCCTCATTAGTGTGTCACCTTTGAGGATACTGTTAGTTTTTCTGACCAACTTTCACCTTCCCACACTCTTTTTTTCCTCCTCTACCCACACAGCATATCTGAAATACAGTTTTTGTACTTTAAATAGTCAGCCCCGGCTACAAGATTCTCATCCTGGATTCTTTGTGGGAGGGCACTGCAGAGGAGAGAACTTGCTGCCTTGGAAAAACCCCACCAGTCTCTTTGGAGCTCCTTGGTCACAGGTACTAAGAAAATGGAGGAAATGGGGACAGGATTCATGGCTAGAGCAGCTCTGCTGAGCCAGCAGCCCACCCCATCCTCAATGCCAGGTAGAGATAAATAGCTGCCTGAGCAGTCCCAGGACTTTGCTGCTGGCATTCAGCCTACACTGGGCCAGGAGGGCCTCCTCTGTGGCTGCAGTCCAGCAGCATGTCTGCACTGAGGCTGGCACGGGTGTCCTGCTCAGTGCCAGGAACTCCCAGAGCAGAGGCAGGAGGCTGACCCAGCCATTGCCCTCCAAGATACCCATGGGCCAGCACTGTGTCAGCATGACAGTCAGCACTGGGTTATGCTGCAAATAGACCAGTCTCAGGGGAGAGCTGGAGCAGTACTGGGAGGCTCCTAGGGGAGAAAGAGCTGGAACTTGATGAGTGGTAGAGGAGGAAGAACATTGGGGCAGCCACCATGTCAGAAGAGGGAACCCTGAGTTGGAGTCAGACTGAACTTGGACTCCAGCCCTGAGACTGCTACCCCATCAACTGGGAAACTGTAGATGAGCCCTTCCTTTCTGAGCTAATTTTGAGATCTAGGAAATGGGGATACTAAAAACTTCTTCACAGCTTCTATGTGTGTGTTCAGTGAGATTTGATTATCAAGGTGCTGGAGAATATTAGGTATAATAAGGGGAAAGAGACTAATGATTGGTGAACATTTCGTCTCCCTTGCTAGACTAGGATGGAAGACTAAATGATCTAAATAGGCCATGGAAGGGGATGGATCCTTGAGCAAGAAGGTTGAAGACACATCTGTGTTTCTTCCTTCCAGCAGTACTCCTTGATCCCAGACAGTCCTGGTGAGGGTTCTGTTCTTCGGCATTGAGGCAGGTAAAGAATGAAGCTTAAGAGCCCTAGCTGGTTTTTATCAGTGGTTAGAGCATTGGCCTGCAGGCCAAAGGGTCTCCAGTTCAATTCCCAGTCAAAGGAAAGTACCTCGGTTGTAGGCTCCATCCCCAGACTAGGTCAGGGTGAGTGCAGGAGGCAAGCAATCAGTGTGTCTCTCTCACATGGATGTTTCTCTCTCTTTCTTCCCCTTTTATCTCCCTTCAACTCTCTCTAAAAACCAATGGAAAAATATCCTTGGGCAACAATTAAAACAAAAAAAGAATGAGGCTCAATAAATGAAATTCAAGAAAGGGGTATCCGAGCATACAGGAATGAGTGGGGCTTGGGGAATAGAGGGTAAATCCTAGCTGGCTGTGACATGAAGCAAATGTGCCAGCTTCTCCAAGCTTCTTTTGCCATTTCTGGATCACCAGAACTAGAAGTGCCTGTCTGCTTGCTGGAAGTGAGGCAGCAGGCAGCACCCATGCTAACTCCATTTCTTTGCTTCATTCTCCTCTGTTCTGTTTTAGAAGCTGAGGCCAAAAAAGCATGTGAATGGCTCCGAGCAACAGGATTTCCTCAGTATGCTCAGTTTTTTGAAGGTAAGGCTCCCCTCCCCTAACCTCCTTATTCCTCCATTTTTTTTTCATATGTAAAATGGGGCAAATCAGATACTTTCTCTGACTGCACAAGAAGCTGTGTACCCAGCCCTGTTCCTATAGTTACAATCTCTACATCATCGTTTCTACTGGATGGCTCTTATCAGCTCTCACAAGCTCTGCTGTTGCTCATGCATAAAACACCTTGTCATGACCAAGGCCACTGCTTTGTACCATTCTGAGGATGCCAGCTGCATAGATGGAGTGTGGAGGGTGTATCCTGGAAGCCTAGCTCTCACTTCATCTTCCCCATGGTCTCATTTATTTGTTTTCCTCCATGTTTCCTTTTTCTCTTTAGCATTGTTCATACTTGCTGTTTCTACTTCCGCTCTTCTTCCCACTCCCTGACTGCACCCTGGCTTCCCCCCATCTCACCAAAAACAGTCATTTTCAAGCTCACCAGTGACTTTCATGTGGTCAAATTCAGTGGTCACTTGCCAGTCCTTACTTAGTCTTTCTTTTTTAAAAAAAAAATATTTTATTGAATTTTCACAGAGAGGAAGAGAGAGGGATAGAGAGTTAGAAACATCGATGAGAGAGAATCATCGATCAGCTGCCTCTTGCACACCCCCTACTGGGGATATGCCCACAACCAAGGTACATGCCCTTGCCCGGAATCGAACCTGGGACCTTTCAGTCCGCAGGCCGATGCTCTATCCACTGAGCCAAACCGGTCCTGGCCTTACTTAGTCTTTCAAAGGCATTCAGTGTAGTTGGCCATTCACTTCAGCTTCTAGAAACCTTCCTCTCCTGACTATCTCTTTGGCTGCTGCTCTCTACCTCCTTAACTGACTCTGCTTCTGCTGAATGTTGGGTTGTCTTAGGGCCAAAACCACCTTTTCTTTCAACATTTCTTTCTCAAGAGATTCTTGTCCAGGTACCATCTTTATTCTGGTAACTTACAAATGTCTCTCTGCCCAGGTTTCATTCCTAAGTTCCAGATTTATCTGTTCAACTGCCAATCACTATCTCTACCAGATGTTTGCCAGGTGCCTCTAATTTAACAGGTCTCAATCTGAGCTCCTCAGAGCATGGCCACCCACTCAAGCCCCACATTTAGGAATCATCCTGTTCCTCTTTTCCTTTGTCCCTCTTCAGCAAGCCCCTTCTTCCTCCAGAATATTTCTGGAATCAATCCACTTACTACAACCTTCACTGCCACATCAGTGTGACCTAGTGTATCAGTCTTCTTCTTATACTCCCTGCTCTACTCTGAATGTAAAGCAGCTAAAGACCCTGTGAGCATAGGCTTCACTATATCACTACTCTTCTCTGACTGTGTCACTCCCAATATACTTAAAATGAAGTTTTCCCAGGTGCTTTATCCGCATTGACAAGACTGAATTAGCCAACGCCCTTTTATTTTACTCCTCTTCACTTTGCTCACCACACACACTCAAGGCTCGTTTTAAAGAATATATATTTTATTGATTTTTTTAAAGAGAGGAAGGGAGAGAGATAGAGAGTTAGAAACATGGATGAGAGAGAAATATCTATCATCTGCCTCCAGCACACCCCCCACTGGGGATGTGCCTGCAACCAAAGTACATGCCCCTAACCGGAATCAAACCTGGGACCTTTCAGTCCGCAGGCTGGCACTCTATCCACTGAGCCAAACCAGTTTTGGCTCAAGGCTCATTTTTTTTTAATTTAATTAATTTCTTTATTGATTAAGGTATCACATATTTGTCCTCAACCCCCATTCCAATCCCCCACCCTCACCCCCACTCATCCCCCCATCCCCCTATTGTCCTTGACCACTGGTTAGGCTCATATGTGTGCACATAAGTCCTTTGGTTGATCTCTCCCTTTTATCTCATTTTTATCACTCATTCACTCTGGGCCGTTTTCCTCTTTGAAGCCTTATTGTTAGTCCTGCCAGGAACTTTCTACCTGGGCTCTTTGCACAGCTGGTCCCTTTCGTTCTTCAGGACTCAACTCAGAAGTCACAGTCCCAGCAGGCCTTTGCAGATCACCTTTTTAGGAATAGCCCCCACTCAACCTGTTTTTACCACAACACTTTGGCTGATGTCTTTTGTAGCATCTATTACTGCATTTTTTGTTTGATATATTTTGTTTGTTTGTTTGTTTTTATTGATTTTTTTTCTTTTTTTTTCTTTTTTTTTTTTAAATCAATCTTTATTGTTCATATTATTACAAAGGTTCCTCATTTCTTCCCCCCTCCACCAGGTTCCCACCCCCCCCTCCGTCCCCCCCCCCCCCATCCCCCATTGTCCTCATCCATAGGTGCAGTTTATGTTCAGTCTCTTCTTCCCTCAATTTCCCCAATAGTAAATCCCTTTTCAGATAGTAAATCAGTTACTTAGCATTTTCTCATATCAATAATACCTCCACATGCCCAATGATACACTTCACACAAAAGACATTTCCCACTAGGTCAACCAGCCTCATCCAGGCCCCACCCAAGGCACTCACAGATCAACACCCCAGTCCTAAACTAACTCAACACATCCAGATCTAAGCCTTCATCACTTGATTCAGCAGACCCTCAAGTTCCCACGAAAGTTTCCAGCCATGTCTGAGAAGCAGCCGTGGGGTAGGGGCAGGCAAGGAGCGAGCTGTTCTGGGCCTGGCTGATCAGGGCCTGGCCTCTGTTGCTCTGGTTCATTCCACAACCAGCTGCTCCAGGTCTGGTCATTGCCGCTCCCGACCTAGTTGCTCCGGACTTGGCTGCTGCTGCTCCGGGCCTGGCCGCTCCCAGCCTGGCAGCCGCTGCTCCGGGCCTGGCCGCACCCGACCCGCCTGCTCCCCCGGGCCTGGCCGCTCCCAGCCTGGCAGCCGCTGCTCCGGGCCTGGCCGCACCCGACCCGCCTGCTCCCCCGGGCCTGGCCGCTCCCAGCCTGGCAGCCGCTGCTCCGGGCCTGGCCGCACCAGCCCCGCCTGCTCCCCCGGGCCTGGCCGCTCCCAGCCTGGCAGCCGCTGCTCCGGGCCTGGCCGCACCAGCCCCGCCTGCTCCCCCGGGCCTGGCCGCTCCCAGCCTGGCAGCCGCTGCTCCGGGCCTGGCCGCACCAGCCCCGCCTGCTCCCCTGGGCCTGGCCGCTCCCAGCCTGGCAGCCGCTGCTCCGGGCCTGGCCACACCCGACCCGACTGCTCCCCCGGGCCTGGCCGCTCCCCGCCTGGCAGCTGCTGCTCCGGGCCTGGCCGCACCTGACCCGGCTGCTCTGGGCCCGGCTGCCCCGGGCCCGGCCGCTCCGAGCCTGGCCACTCCCGACCTGGATGCTCTGGGCTTGGCTGCTGCTGTTCTGGGTCTGGCTGCTCCCACCCAGGCTGCTCTGGGCCCAGCTTCTTCGGGCCCGGCCACTCCGGGTCTGGGTGTTCCTGGACTGGCCACCCTGGGCTTGGCCGCCTCCGCCTCATGCCTGGCTGCCACTGCCCCAGGTCTGGCTATTCCAGTGCTGGCTGTTGATGCTCTGGTTCTGGCTGCTGTTGTTCTGGGGCCTGGCCGTTGCTGCTCCGGGTCTGGCTGCCACTGCCTTGTGCCTGGCCACTCTAGGCCTGGCCGTCGCTGTTCCAACATTCTGTCCTTTTTTTTTCTTTTTAAAACGCATTTATGTTGCAATGTTGGCTGGTGAGTTGAGTTCTGACTTAGTCTTTGATTTTTCAAGATCTTCTTTGTATTCTTTCTTAAGTAATTTTACTATTTTTCGCTCTCACTTGATTTCTTCACATTGAGAACTTCTTTGGTTTCTTCCTCCTTGTCCTGGGAGCTCAGCAGGTTGGCCTGTGGCACCCCTTTGTTCTCCGCGGGCTCCTGTGCTGCTTCAGCCTGTTGCCGGGACGGCGCCGCCCAGGAAGCAGCCCCCGGCCTTGGCTCCATTGCCCGAGCTCAGTGGTCAAAGGCTCAGGGGCACCCACGCCCCCAGGGGCCTCGTGGCCCGCCTCCTTGCTGGTGCCAGGTTGGCTGGAGTCCGGCAGGGGCTTCCGCTCCCCTCCGCGTTCCCCCAGCCTAGAGCTTTTTTTTTCTCCTTCCCACTAGGGAAGTCCAGCATCAGAGTCAACAGACTGTCCTCTGCGCGCAGTTTGCGCGAGTCCCACAGACTGTCCTCTGCGCACAGTTTGCGCGAGTCCCACAGACTGTCCTCTGCGTGCAGTTTGCGCGAGTCCCGGGGGCCAGGCCTTTCGCTGCTCTCCCCGGACTCCACCTCACAGCCCCGTCTCCCTCTGCCTGAGCCTGGGTCCCCAGGGATTGGCCCAGAACTGGGGTTCGGAGCAGTCCGGACTGAGGCTCAGCGCCGCCGGAGGCCTTGTTTCTTCTGGCTAGGGCAACCCAGCATCAGAGTCAACATTCAGTCCTCTGCGTGCATTGCGCGCGACTCCCGGGGCCCTGCTTTTCGCCGTTTTTCCGCCTCATGGCCCTGTCTCCTCCCGCCGGAGCCTGGGTCCCCAGGGTCTGGCCCATAACTGGGGCTCAGCGCTGCCGGTTCGGGGGGGCTCAGCGCTGCCGGTTCGGGGGTTCAGCCCAGGCTGGGGGTTTTATTTCCTTCCTGCTAGGGAAGGAAAGGCGGCTCCCCGCCCTCTCCTCCTCTCCGGCTGCGACCTCTCCGTGCGCGCGTGCGGGCGGGCAGGCGCGCGCAGCATGTCTCTGTACCTTAGGCTTTCTTTCAGCTCCTCTGATTTTCTTTCTGGTTTTCTCTTTCCTTCTTGTTGTAGAAATTTCAGTCAGTCGACTACCTGTAGCTCTGGGCAATGTCCACTCTACATTTTAGTTGTATTCCATTGAAATTGTTGTGTGCTGCCGCGGCTAGATGTCTACCGGAGCAGCCATCTTGGATCCTCTTGTTTCATATATTGTCTCTTGTCCCTAGGATAGTGGGAAGCCCATAAAGGCAGGAACCTTCTCTGTCTCATTTGCTGTTGTGTCCCCAGTGTCTAGCCCAAAGTACATGCTCAAAGAATGTAGGTAATGAATCAATGGGCTGATTTTATCAATAAGGTAGAGAAGTGTGGGATTTTCTGGCTGCGCTCACCTCCTCCCTTTCCTTCCTTTCTCACCTATCCTCCCTAAACCCCAGGGACTGGGCCCATGCTATGCGTAGCAGTCAGAAGTGTTTCTTCTGTCCTCACTCTCTCTGGTTCCCCAGTTCACCTTGGGTCAGGGAGGAGGTTCCCTGTTTGAGCAGCCCAGGATTCAAAGGGAAATGAGGGAGCCCACACTGATTCTTGGCAGCCACCTCAGATCTGCTGTTCCCCAAGGACTTACCTCACTGACTGATGGGCCCTATCATCCAGCTCTACCTTTCAGCCTCTCCTTATCCTTTCTGATGATGGCCAACCTGAGCTCCCTGGGCTCTTCCTTTCCTCTAGGAATCCTCCTTCTGCTCTATACTTGCTGGCCTGCCTTCCTGCTTCCCCAGCTTCTCCTTTTCAGCTCAAGGGCCACTGGCAGAATTTCTGACCAACCACCCTCAACTCATCTTGGCTTCTCTCTGCCATACAGAAGGTTCATTTCCCTTGGATATTGGCTCTGTGAAGAAGGACCACGGTTTTCTGGACGAGGACTCTTTGGGGGCCCTGTGCAGGTAGGGGGCTAAGGGACAGACCTAGGAGGCTGGGGCCCAAATTAAGGCTTCCTCATGTAAAAAAAATTCCTATACCCCTAACATAGGAGGAGCCTCAGCTATTAACAAAGCTCATCTACTGCAGTCATCCCACTCATTGTGTCTTCTGAGTCTGTGACACCCTCACCCCACTAGGCATTCTAGCTGGAAAGCCAAGAATAGGCCTTGATTCTTTTCTCCCTTCAGCTAGGTTCCACAGACCATCCTCTGATTTGTCCCCTCTCTACTTACACCAGCTTGGCCCTGGTTTGAGGTCAAGCCATGACTTCTTGGGTCCATCACAGACTTCTAACTGGCCTTCCTGCTTCCATCTCTGCATTCCCCTTTTTGTAATGGCCCTGTGGCCGAACAGCCACTAGAGTTTGTTTCCAGGAGTAAACTCACTCCTCTGTTTAAAGTGTGTCACTGCCTGAAGGGAAAATCCAAAGCTTTTTAGCATGGCACACAAGGCCCTTTGCAATCTGGTTTTGACCAACCTTATCAGCCTCGGTCCTCTTTCATAAGAACCCTGGTTTGTTTACTGTTTCCCCCTCTACCTTGTCCCAAGCTCCTGTTGAATTCCAGAAGAGGAGTCTCTCTGCCTCTTTCCCTCCAATCCCATTTCTGTCTTCCAAGAAGCCTTATCTAATTACAACCTTTCCATTCATGGAAGTCCCTTGTCCTACCCTTTGTGTGACTGCTGTGCCTTCTGTCTACTTTGTTCTTGAGCCTTTCACATTTCTGTAGCAGTTTGTTTTCAGATCTATAAGCTCTTAAAGAACAGAGGCCATAATCTTCCCAGCATTGTGTCTAGCACTGAAACCTTCACAGAGTTTCATTGGCTAGACATGTGAATTAGTGGATGGCATCTTGGGAGTGTTTTGGTAGGTTGTGCCCTAAAGACTTTGGGGGTTGGGACCCTTGGATGAGCACTGTTTTGTTTCCTTGCAGGAGGCTGATGACCTTGAACAATTGTGCCTCGATGAAACTGGAGGTTCATTTTCAATCCAAGAAGGTGAGTCATGGCAGGAGTGGGGTCTGTGACCTTGTGGCATCATAGGAAACATAAACATACACAAACCACTTTTGAAACTAGCTCCAGTGTCCCCAGAGTCCAGTATATCCAGATTAATGCCTTGCTCCAGCCTGGGAGTAGGGTATAGGAGGCTTAATGAGACCTCTGGGTTTTGGCAAGCCTAGTCTGGAGGCTGGAATATGAGAACAAGTACCCTGGCCCTTGGCCTCTCCCACTCCCCTTAGCCACTTCTACCTCTTAGGTTTACTAATAACTTGACCTAGAGATGGCCATTTCTCAAGGAAATCCATCTGCCTCCAATCCCTGCTCTGTGATGACAAAAATTCCTTGACTAGGGGGTAGAAATATAATAATGGGATGGAAAAATCATGGCCTATATAATCTTAAAGACAGGGTCCTTTACTCACACCAATTTTTTTTTTTTTTTTTTTTTTTTTTTTTTTTTTTTTTTTTTTTTTTTTTTATGAAGGGTCAGGAACATAAGACCAAAATACTTCCCTATTTGCCCCAGGTAATATTACCATACAGCTGATGACTGCTAGCATGGCAAGAAAGACATTTTCAGGCATTCTTGGATTTCTGGTTACCTCACAATTTCTATTTTTTTTTAAATTATTATTATTATGATTATTATTTTACATATATGTCCTTATTCCCCCATTAACCCCCAATCCCCATTCATGCCAAACCCCCTGTTGTCTGTGTCCATTGATTAGGCTCAAATGCATGCATGTAAGTCCTTTGGTTGATCTCTCCCTCTTACCTCCACTGTCCCCTACCTTCCCTGAGGTTTGAAATTCTGGTTGATGTTTCTCTGCTTCTGGATCTATTTATTTTTTCCATCAGTTTATGTTAATTATATTCTAAAATGAATGAGATCATGTGATATTTATTTTTCTCTGCCTGGCTTATTTCATCACACCAAGTCTTTTCTCTCTGAGATTAATTTCCTCCATCTCTACAGTGAATCTAGTTGGGGGGAGGATTTATAGGTTCCAAAGGCCTTTCTCACTCTGCCAATCTGGGATTGTAGAAACCTTGAGGACTGTTGGTCTGCACATAGCCCTGGAATGTGGACCTGATGACCCCATCCTGCCCTGGGTCAGGATTTGTGGGTTTCCTCTGGGACTTTCTTTTCCAGAGGCCTTTAGCCATGTGTATCAGCCAAATTGTCAGACCCTTTACCTGAGAAGCAGAAAACCACTGGGACATGGTCCCCACTGACTGACTGCTCAGTGACCTCAGGAAAGTCTCTTCCTCACTCTGGCTTTAGTTTTCCCACCTTGCAAATTAGAAAATGAGAAAATCTAAAATTTCCTCCCAGCTCTGGCATTCTGTGATTCTGATCTGAGTCTAGCCCATACTTGAGAGGTTGTTGAGGACAGGAAGTCAAGACTCCTGGATTCTAGCCTGGCTCTGTCACTGACTTCTTAAATGACCTTGGGCAAGTGGTTTCTCATTTGTGGGTCTGGGTTTCACTGTCTGTAAATGGAGAGGGATTAAATTAATTATATTACCTTTACCATCCATCTGAGCTCCATCTAGGACTCCTGGCTTCCTTTGTCTAGCACTCCCAGAGCCAGCTTTCCCTCTAGGACATGTCCTCAGCCAAAGAGCAAGGCCCTTTACTGAAAGATCCCCCAAGCATTTGGAGGTAGAGCAGAGCACAAGCAAGGGCTTGTGGGTAGACTTCTTTGACCTGACCTTGTGGTGACCTTCCCAGAATGAAGACTCAGAAGAGGAAGAGCAGTGTACCATCAGCAACCCCTGGTCCTTGCAGCGAGAAAGTAAATGCTGGTCTCTCATGGGCTCTTCTGACCTGCTGGCCCCACCGAGCCTTGGACTGCCAGTGACCTCCAGCTGTGAGAGTGTCCTCACTGAGCTTAGTGCCACCTCTCTGCCGGCCATCACCGTGAGCCTACCATCCAATCCAGTGGACCTGCCCTTGCTAGGCTGTGCCCCTAGCCCAAGTGACCAGCCCCTCCTCAGCCCTACCCAGGGCCCAGAGGGTTCCCAGAACAAGGCCAAGAAGCTGCATTCCCGTAGTTTCCTCAAGCACCTCGAGTCTCTGAGACGGAAGGAAAAGGGTGGCAGCCGGCAAGCTGAGCCAGAGCATAGCCCAGTAACTTCAGAAAAGGCCATTAAAAGTTCCTCTTTCCGGAGCCGCCGTGGCTTTCTCTCAGCTGGGTTCTATAGGGCCAAGAACCAGGCAGACACCTCAGTCAGTGGCAGTGGTGCTGAGACTCAGAGTGGCTGGGAGGTCTGGCCTATGGCCATGCTCCGGCATCCTCAGCAGATACACAGGGGTGACTACCTGGTGCATGTGCCTGGGGACCACAAACCAGGTACATTCCCTCGCTCCCTGTCCATTGAGAGCCTGTCTACTGAAGACGGACACCATCTGGCTGATTGGCAGCTAGGTAGGCGTTGGGGCTGCGAAGGACGCCGGGGCTCCTGTGGCTCCACAGGCAGCCATGCCAGCACATATGACAACATGCCTGAGCTATACCCAGCTGAGCCTATACTGGCTGGGGCTGAGGCCGAAGATGAAGAAGAGGGCAGCGGCAGCTATGCCCATCTAGATGACATCCTCCAGCATGTGTGGGGGCTGCAGCAACGGGTAGAACTTTGGTCTCAGGCCATGTACCCAGACCTGGGGCCTGGAGATCAGGAAGAGAAAGAAGATGAAGAAGAAGAGGCCACTTCATTAGTAGAAATAGCCACAGTTGAGGTAGAAGGTCAGCCTGAGGCTCTGGTCCAGGTAGAGGCTCTGGCCCATAAAGAGTCCTCAGCTCTGGGCCAGGTTGATGTCCAGACAGTTGTCCCAGTTCAGGCCTCACCGGAACTCCAGGCACAAGCTGAGGCCAAGCCACTTGGCCCAACCCAGGATATTGGGCAGGAGGCAAATTCAAGCAGGGAACCCACTTCTGCCTCTAGCCTATCTGTGGAAGAGCACTCCATTTCTGACACTGTGGCCTCCTCCAGCGAACTGGACAGTAGTGGGAACTCCATGAATGAGGCTGAGGCTTCATGGTCCCCGGTTGGACTCCAGGCATCAGCACCCCGTGAACGACGAGATTCAGGCGTTGGGGCCTCACTTACCAGACCCTGCAGGTGGGAGTTCAGGGTAGAAAGGAGCAAGGAGCTCTGCTATCTCTGTCTCTTCCTTCCTAATTCCTCCCTCCATTTTCAATTCCCCAGCCAATTTCTTGGTTATGGGGTCCAGGGGCAGGCTCTTGGGAGCTGGCTGATTGCCTCTAGGCACCCAGTCACAGGAGGGCAACAACAAGACTACAGGACTCAGAAATCCAGAATGTTAGGTTTAGGACCTGCCTCTGCTGTGATCTTGAGCAAATTCTAGCTCCTCTTTGGGCCTCAGTTTTCCCATATATAAATTGAGGTCATTAGAAGAGGTGAAATCTGATCCCTACCTTTGCCATACTGGGTTTCTCAGAGCAACCTATTCATTGCAGTCCTGGAAAGGTAGGAGCTGGTACTACTTGATGGCACTAGTGAAGCCTGAGCTCTGCTGCCACTTCCCTGATAGTGTCTGGGCCACTGGGAAGCCCTGGAAGCTAAGGCTAAGCTTTTTCCACCCTGGGGCCTAGCAGCAATGCTGAAAATGGTCCTATCTCCAAGAATTTTCTTTCTTTTGGGAGAAAAAAGGGGCCAGAAGAACACAGCCCATTCTAAGGTTGACCCAACCCTGCTCCTCTGGCTTTCTACCCCCACCCAACCCCCATCCCTTACCAGGAAGCTCCGTTGGCACAGCTTCCAGAACTCTCATCGGCCCAGCCTCAACTCGGAGTCACTGGAGATCAACCGGCAGTTTGCCAGCCAGATCCACCTGTTGCACAAGGGCTCCCTACTGCGGCTCACAGCCTTCATGGAGAAGTACAGTGTGCCCCATAAACAGGGCTGGGGCTGGTGAGTGCTCCTGGTCCATGGTCATGGCTACCTCCCTGCCCCTATTCCAAGGCCCTGGGAGGATCAGCTCCAAACAGCAGGTGTAGATAGGCAGAGCCTACAGGCCAATGGATGTGCCAGGAGGTTGGAGGAGCCGTAGCCTGAGAGGTCACTGTTGCTCTGGGTGGCTTGTGTGTGTGTGTGGGGGGAGGGGATGGGTGGGTGGGTGCACATAAGATGCATGGCAGTATGTGTGCCATGTGAGAGGAAGGTGGGGGTGGGGGTGGGGAACACGAGGTCCTTGAGTTGTACCCCTCTAATGCAACATCCATACTACCATCAGTGAGGTTGTCTTAAATTGGAGCTTTGATTGTCACTCTCCTAATCACCCTTCTGTGGCTCTGTGGTTTGGCATTACCAAATTTTCCTTCCCATCATGATCCTTTCATGTTCTGGTCCTGCCCCTTCTGTAAGGCTTGCACCTGCCACTAGTAAGCAACGCAAATGTACAGGCCAGAAAACCTTCCCTGAATGTGCTATGCTTCTTTCCTTGCCTCTTTATCATTGTCTACACTTTTCTCTTGGCCTGGAATGCCTTTCCCCCATTTCTTCTCTGTTACAATGTCTACTTATTTCTCAAGAGCCCGTTGAATTTCTACCCCTCTCTGAAGCCTTCCCTGACCCACTAGGTGTGGTTCCTCTCCTTCATGGGTCTTCCCTTAGTTCTTCATGGGTCTTCCCTTAGTTCCACTACTGGCCGCATGTATTGTCCCTGCCTATTGATGCATATATTTCTTTAATTGAGACCCAGAGCTCTCTGTGTTCCTCTGTGACTTCCTAAGGCTGGGCCCAGAGAAGGTGTTTAGTGAATGTTGATTATGGAAATGTGGTGTGTTTCTTACCCCACTCACTCCAGCCAGAGCCTCCAAGACTGAAGACAGTTTCCAACTATGTTCTAGCCTAGCACATGCCCCTTCCCTGATCTCTGTCACTCCTCCAAATAGGACAGTTCCCAAGTTCATGAAAAGGAACAAAACCCCAGATTACCAGGGCCAGCATGTGTTTGGGGTGCCACCTCTCATCCATGTGCAACGCACAGGCCAGCCATTGCCACAGAGCATCCAGCAAGCCATGCGCTACCTGCGCAGCCAGTGTCTGGACAAGGTGAGCCTCCCAATCTCCAGTCCTCTCTGGGGCAGGGGGTGGGGGAGTGCGGAACTGTGGAGAGATAGCAATGGAGAAGAAGTCCAAAGCAAAGAAATTGGGTTGGGAAGCTGCTTCCCCCCTGGTCAGCCCACCAGAGACCTTTCCTAGCCCCAGGAAGACCAGCAAGGATGGAAACAAAGCTCCCTTCTCTCCAGCTCTGTACAAGCCTCTTTCTGGCCCAGGCAATGTAATCCCCAACTTCCAAGAGCCTGCCTTAGTCTAGGCCCTCCTTTTCTTACCCATTTCTACTAAAGCCATGTTTTTCCTTGTCGTGAGGCTATAAAAATCCTTTTCTTTAGTTTTACCATTTCTTTCCAATCCTGCTCAGCAGGAGGCCTGTTGGGCTTGGAATTTTCTGGGATGGCCTACACTTGTGACTCCTGGCCTCACAGTCCCTCCCCCCCCCCATGTTTCCACCCCTCCCTGACCTGCATGGGCTAGGTGGGCATATTCCGCAAGTCTGGAGTGAAGTCTAGAATCCAGATCCTGCGCCAAATGAATGAGTCCTCTCCTGACAATGTCTGCTATGAGGGCCAGTGTGCCTATGATGTGGCTGACCTGCTGAAGCAGTATTTTCGAGACCTACCTGAGCCTATCTTCACCAGCAAGCTCACGACCACTTTCCTGCAGATCTACCAGCGTGAGTACCAATCCCCAACAACCTGTCCCATTCTTAACTATCACAGAGTAAACATACTATATGGAAGGATAGACTAAAGCCCTGAGGAAAGGCAGGGACTTACCTAAGGTTAAACTGTGCATTTGAGCAGAGCTTGATCTAGCATCCAGAGACTTCCCAGAGCCCACCTTTGCCCTCTCTCTCACTAGATTCCCTTGGGACAACTGTTTCCTCTGTGTTCCTAGAAATAGTAGGCTCCAGGGTAATAAGGAAGCCCTTTGCCATTTCTTCCCCACAGTCCTCCCCAAGGATCAGTGGTTGGCAGCAGCGCAAGCTGCCACTTTACTGCTTCCTGATGAGAACCGAGAAGTGCTGCAGACCCTGCTCTATTTCCTAAGTGACATTGCCTCTGCTGAGGAAAACCAGATGACAGCCGGCAACCTGGCAGTGTGTCTGGCACCCTCCATCTTCCACCTCAACATCTCCAAGAAGGATAGCCCCTCACCCAGGTGAAACAGGGTAACGTGTCCAGGCCAGGCAGGGAGGGTTTGATCTCCCAATCCTATTGGACTTCAGGCCCTTGATGGCTGACACTGCAGTTCCCAGGCATCATCACAAGGGGTCAGCCTGCCTCCTCAGGGACCTGGGACTGGTTGGATGCAGTAAAGCCGGGCCTTGAAAGACAACAGGTTGTGTTATGTTCTAGACTGGCAATCTGGCTTCCTGGGAACTGGAAACCAGCCTATTAGCCATATTCCATACTCTCCTTATTCCATACTCTTTTCTCATTCCTTCCCTCCAGGATCAAGAGCAAACGCAGCCTAGTTGGTCGTCCAGGCTCGAGGGACCTGAGTGAGAACATGGCGGCCACCCAGGGATTATCACATATGATCAGTGACTGTAAGAAACTTTTCCAGGTGAGTAACTCCAGGCTATCATGCCTACCTCCCAGACTTGGGGGAACCATCAGGTCCAACCTTTATATCCAAGACTGGACACATGCCCCTCAACCTCCTATTTCCAACTCTTCCCTACAAGGTTTCTCCCCTACCTCACTGTAGTAGCCAGGTTGCCTTATCCATGAACATAAATCTGATAGACTCTGGGACTGAAACTCCTCTGCTGCTTGCTCCTCATTGCTCTAGCCCAGAGAGTGTGTGTGTGTCCTGCCAGGTACCCCAGGACATGGTGCTGCAATTGTGTGGCTCCTACAGCGCAGCTGAGCTCAGACCTCCTGGCCCAGCCCTGGCTGAGCTGCGACAGGCCCAGGCTACTGGTGTGAGTCTGAGCCTCTACATGGAAGAGAGTGTTCAGGAGCTGCTGCGTGATGCTGCTGAGCGCTTCAAGGGCTGGATGAGCGTGCCAGGGCCCCAGGACACGGAACTAGCTTGCAGGAAAGTGAGTACTGCCATGGGGCAAGGAGAGGGCGTGATGCAGGCCAGGGGACCAGGGATCCCAAAGAAAAGGGCTGCCCTGTCAGTACTGATGTGCCTTGGCCTGATATGTGGAGAATGTCAGCTAGCAAAGCAAGAACCAAATGAGACTAAGGGATGATTTTACCAGAATTACCTTCCCCAAACCCCTCTTCAGACATGTCACTACTTTTAGAGCTTTACCTCCCAGCTCACCTTGCACCACAGTCACACTGTGCTTCTGCCCCTGATGATGTGCTACCTGAAGTGACCTTCCCCAAGCATTACATTTCCCAAGCCACTGTGATCCCCAACTTGATATGACCATTCCTCCATTCAGAGCCTCCTGTCATGCCCTGGGATGGAAGTGGTTTCTTTCTGTCCCTCTCTTGGACAGCCATGTTCTTTTTCGGATTCTGATTATGAGTAAGACTGCACACCTGAGGTTTGCCATATATAAACCAGGCACAATGAAACCTCCCTTTCAGGGTTGGGGTGAGAAGCTGTCCCAGTGCCTGGCACATACAAAAGGCTCAGAAAAGGGCAGCTTTTGTTGCTCTCCACTGTCTAATTCGTGGGAACAGTGCTAGGTGTTAAGTTCCTTGAGGACCATTACCATCTTCTCTTCCTGTTTGCTTCCAGAAATTCCAAGCACTGTACCCATTTCATGGTAGACCCTAGCAGGCCTCAGAGAATGTGTGTCTGTCATCTCTGCGCTCTTGGGCAGGTGGAGAATCAGATATCTGGAAAAGAAAGAGAGGACAGGGAACACAGGGATGGCCTGTCTGGGTGTGACAAGGGTTAGCACATTAGCCTTGCAGCCTTCCCTCCTCAGGGGTTGGGGTGAGAGTAGGCCAGGACTGGCGGGTGAATGGGAGTTCTCCAGCCCTGACAGCTGCCTCCTGTCCCTGCTCACATGGCCTGCAGGCACCAGACGGGCACCCCCTGCGTGTGTGGAAGGCATCCACAGAGGTGGTGGCCCCTCCAGCGGTGGTGCTACACCGTATTCTGCGGGAACGGGCCCTCTGGGATGACGACCTGCTGCGAGCCCAGGTCCTGGAGGCCCTGATGCCGGGTGTGGAACTATACCACTATGTCACCGACAGCATGGCACCCCATCCCTGCCGTGACTTCGTGGTGCTTCGGTGAGGGACTCCAGATGCCACCCTGCTGTGCTTAGGGAACAGGGGACATGGGGTAGGAACCAGCTTCAAGAACCTGAATGTACATGTCCCTTCCCCACAGGATGTGGCGTTCTGACCTGCCCCGCGGGGGTTGCTTGCTTGTCTCCCAGTCCCTGGATCCTGAGCAACCTGTGCCAGAGTCTGGGGTGCGGGCCCTGATGCTCACTTCCCAGTACCTCATGGAGCCTTGTGGCTTGGGTCGCTCCCGGCTCACCCATATCTGCCGTGCTGACCTAAGGTACCAGGCCCCCTTTGCCCTGGCACCCCCCTTGCCTCTGCCCCATGCTGTTGAACCTTGACAGTTAGGGCAAGTTCTTTCTTCTTTCCCTCCTGGAAAGGGCTCCTGGTAAGAACCCATGGCTCATGCCTATCTGCTTCTATCTCCCCAGGGGCCGGTCTCCGGACTGGTATAACAAAGTCTTTGGGCACCTGTGTGCCATGGAAGTGGCAAAGATCCGGGACTCCTTTCCTGCCCTGCAAGCAGCTGGACCTGAAACAAAGTTGTGAACCTTAGCCTGGTTCCAGAGTGGCGCCACCCAGCCTCCTTGGTACCAAAGGAGTAAGGGAGAAATGAGAGCACAGAAGCCCCCAATGCTGCCTCCAGGGGCAGAGCCATTCCCTACACCTACACTATTTCAGTGTCCCATCTCCACTCCACCTCCACCTCCATCCCTGAACTTGTTTTCTACCTTCCGGAGAGAGAGGATCCAAGAAGACCGCTGCTGCCCTCCAAGCCAGGGAGTCACCAGTTAAACTGAAACCTTGCTGGCTGTTCACCTGCAGGGATACAGGGAGAGGGCAGTGTATGCTCCCAATTCTCTGCCCTTCAGAGAGGCCAGGCCATCCTGTTTGGTACTAGGGTCTCTTTGAGGTTGAGCAGGAGGTTCTGGTCATGCCTCTGGGCCCAAAATTGGCTATAAACAGGCTTTTCCAAAGAAATTGGATGGGAGTGGATGGGCACAGGGGTAGAATAGAGGGCAGCCCCAACCACCAATAAGTTTTATTTGTGTAAATACGATGCTGATTTTTATGAGGCTGATTTATAGAGTGGTTACTGATGGGCCCCTAGTCAGCAACATGACGATTTGGGATAGCTTGGGACATGAGAGTAAAAGAGGGACTTTCCTTTCTCAGGTCTCAAGAGACCAATGAACCAGTTTCCCCTGGCGTGCGCCCCACATTTGATCTGCCACTCTATGGGGTCTCAGTGCAGCCTTTGGCCTTGCACTGCCATGTCTGGAGAGTAAACAATCTCAGTCCTACCACACAGGACGAGCAGATGCAGATAGCATCCGTTCTCCTGCTCTTTGTGCCTATAGTGTGAGGCTGACATAACAACCTTTTCTTCAAGTAGAGACCTGGCTCCAGCTCAGGTGGCCAGCCAACCAAATGGACGGGCCCAGTGTTATCTCAGCCAGTTAGGGAAAGATTCAAACCTGATCTATCCTACCCATTGGCTGTCTTGGTTCATGTTGAAATTCAAGCGCCATTCAAAAGCTAGCTCATGATTCATTCTTCTTTAGGCTGAATAAAATGAAGTGGGATGGCTCCTAGCCAACGTTGTAATTTTTAAGTCTATTTTACTTGTACCTATAAATACTGTACAGTCATAATATGTATATATATTTATGTATATGTAGATATATATATATATATATATATATATATATATATATATACACACACACACACATCTATATATACACGAATATGTTCTATCATAAGTGTACCATAATCTATGGTTGGGAGTGAGTTGGGCAGCAGGGCACCTAAGACAAGATAGGGGAGATGAAGAGCAGGAGCCACATGACCCCCTCATAAAAGCAATAAAGCATTACTGAAGATACACTCTGGCTGTGTGGCTGTCTTTGCTGAGGTGATGGGTTAGGGACTGGGCTTGGTATTAGGGTCAGAGGTTGTGAGCATTACTGGCCTAAGACTCAGGGAGGTCACAGGAGGAATGGGGGCAAGGCCTCGGCTCTTCTCTTTGGGAGGTGATTTGGGGGGTGGAGGCAGGATTCTAAGAAGCCAGGACTTGGGTAGAAGCTGCAGACCCCATCCCCTTTATTGGCCAGGATCCCCCATCTGAACAGTGCATGAGCATTACCTCAAGAGTCCTGACAGTAGTCAGAGAGAGATGTTCTGGCTATGCTGTCCATCTTTCCCCTGCTATACACAGCTTGGGCTGATTACAGAGTGGAGACCCAGCCCCTTGAGGTTGGAGGAAGCTGTTGCATTCACAATTCAGGCTATAAGAGGTCTGAGCCTCCAACCACCACCCCCGTGGCAACTCCTGGCCTGGTTCCAGTGGCCGGCAAAGCCCAGGAGATGAGAGGGACCCCCTTATTTTGACTTCCCTCGAGAAATAAACTTGCCTCTGCATAGTTACTATAGCCAGAAAATTTCCAATCTCTAAGGGGCAACTAGAGAGAGTACGGCTTTGCAGTCAAATCTGTGTTTGCATCCCTGGAGTGCTGTAGAATAGCCTGAATATCTCTCTCTCTCTCTCTCCCTCCCTCCCTCCCTCCCTCCCTTCCTCTCTCTCCCTCTCCCTCTCTCTCTCTCTTTCTCCCTCTCTCTCTCTCTTTCTCCCTCTCCCCTTCTCTACTTCCTTGTAGGTTTTCCCCCCTCTTTTTTTTCTGTCACCTCCTTCCATTCTCCTTGGTTTACCTGCCCCTACATACCTTTTTACTGTCACCTCCTTTCATTCTCCTGGGTTTAGCTGCCCCTACATACCTTTGTTATTTTGTCACTGTTGCTGCCTGGGTGTCTGTTAATGGGTAGTATGAAAATTACTACCCATGTGATTGTTGCAAAGGACAGATAAAGAGTTATGAGGGAAGCTCTTGAAGGATTTGCCCAACCATTCAGTCCTGGACTCTGCTGCTCTGGACCAACTGCCCAATGTGGTTCCCTTATGTCTGGCTCTAGGAAAGGCAGTGCCAAGCAGAAGAGCTTCTCTGTGGTTTAGTGTCATTCCTCCTACATAGAGTAGAGGCTTCCATGCTTGCCTAGCTCTCCCTGGATTACTGTGCAGTCCATGAATGTACCACCATAGCCAATAGACATGAAAATAGGTATGATGATAAGGCTGCCCAGGCCCCTCACTGCCACACACATTGCGAACATCACCCATGGCCATTTCTTTCTAGCTATCAGTCTTATACCTCCACCCACCCTGAGTTGGCCTTTCCCTTTCTCTGGTGCCAGAGAGCTCTCACCCTCAAATTCCCAACACTATTGCCTGTACTTTCTTCTCTTCTACTTCCACTGACCCATGCCTCAAAGAAACCAGGCTGTGGGTAAAGCCCATAATGGGAATTGGACAATCTATCTGCAAGTTTTAATCTATTATTTTCTAGTGCTATATTTCTGGAATGATTGAGGGTCAGTGGTAGACATACCCAGGTTCAGTAATTTGATTATTTTTTTAAATTAAATTATTTAATTTAATTTACTTTTTCAGTAGTTCGATAAATTGCCTATATTATTGCCTGGCTGTGTGAACTTTAAGTGATACATTTAACATTTCTGATTCCTCTTTCCTCACAGAAGATAATCATTTATATCTTGCAAGATAGTCAGCAATGTTGAACGAGCTAATGTGAATGTGGCTGCACAGTGCCTAGCAGATAGTGGACATGAGTATGTGGTAGTTTCCTTTGCTCTGCTTCCTTCATGCCAGTCAGGCTCTGTGGAGAAGGCTTAGGTCTGCATGGATGGGTGGGTGGGTTGGGTACACATATTTCCTTCTTGGCATCAAGGACCTACACCCACACTTTTGAGACTACCTCAGCTTCAGGTCCAACCATTCTGGACACACCTACCTCCTCAGCAGACTCAAAACGTTCCAATGACCTCTTTGTATCCTAACTACTGATTGGCTTTCACTATACTTCCTCCTTGAGAATGTGGCCCTATGGCCACATCTTCCTTCTTGAGCCCATCTTCCTCCAGGCAAAGAACTCTCTTCCCACTTCTTTGACCATAGCTCCTGTCTTTCATTGACCCTCTCACTCCTCCCTCTGCCCCACCTCTTCCTAAAACATTCCTCCAAGTTATTTCTTACCTTCCTCCTTGGACCACCTTGCTCTTTAGGGACTTCACTGATATTCATTGTTACACTTGGAGGCCCAAGTCAAAATCATCATCTTCCAACTCACAGTCTGTTTCCTGTTGCCTGTTCTGTCTCAGGTATAACCCCTCTCTCCTTCTCACCTCCACTCACAACCAAATGCATGCATACATACATACATCCACCATCCATCCATCCATCTATCCATCCATCCATCCATCCATCCATCCATCCATCCATCCATCCATCTATCCATCCATCCAAACACTCATCCATTCTGCCATTCAGCAAGTAGTTGTGGAATGTCTGCTACATGCCAGACTTTGTTGAGGTGCAGAAAATACAGAAGTAAACAAGACCAACAAGGTTCCACCTTGTTGGGAATATGTCTTTAGTGCACATTCTACTAGATGGGTGAGTGGAGGGAAGTAGATGGTAGACAAATGCACAAGCTAACTTCAGCTATGATAAAGGTGATGAAGGCAATAAAACAGAGTGAGGTGGTAGTGACTGGGAAGTTACTTCAATAGGGTGGTCAGAGAGGGTCTCTGTGACTATATGAGGGACCATTTAAGCTAAGACCTGAGGGAGCATAAGGAATCAGATACACAAAGATTCATGATGAACAGTCCTGAGCAGAGGACACAGTAAGCAAGTACAATGACCCTGGCATGAGGACAAAGTTGACATTTTTCCAGACGAGCAGATGGTCAGCATGGCTGGGGTGCAGGGTGCATGGGGATAGTGGTAGGAGATGGGGTTATAAGGGTCAGATCACATGGATAAAAAAGGGAATTAGCTATGATCCATCTATTCTACCTCCACAGCATCTCCTATATCCAGCCTATGCTGGATACAATGCCCCAGTTGATATTGCATACCCTTCTATCTGGATATTAGAAGAGAGTCCCTCATCTCCTTTCTCTCCACCTGCCCATTTTCACCTATATGTGGTACCAGGTGAATCTTTCTAAAGTCAAATATCATTCTATGACTTTCTGGCTCAAAAACTGTCCATGCCTCCTCCCCTATTGACTACCAAACTGTGGCATTCAGGACCCCACAATGCAGCCTCATTGTATCCAATAAATTTTCTCCCTTTTTCCTTCTATTCTCCAACCATGTCCCAGACATGCTCCTTTAGTTACCTCTTCCAGGAGTGAATGTGGGACTGCCTTGAACTTGGAGGACCCAGGTTCAAGTTTCAGCTCTGTCAGTTGTTAGCTGTGGCAAGTTACTTAAACTTTTGGGGTTCTAATTTTCCCATATATAAAATAAGGCTCAGAGAGATGTGTGGATCCCTTATCAATTTAGGTTGATTATCACAAAATGTTATCACCCTCAAACCTTACCAGTCTGGCAACACTCAATTGTGATATATCTGCACCATGAAGTCATCCCTGAAACTTCCAGCAAGGTTTGCTCTCTCCTT